CGGGGCAGAGGAAGCCCTTATGGAGCTTGGACCTTCGGGCAGCTTCTGGGTTCCCGTCCCCGTTCCAACCGTGTGCTTTGTGACCACGGAAAACGCGGTCTGACAGGGTTGTCACGAAGAGTTAATGAATTGGTAGTGTGTTTTTAGAAGAGTCAGTGCAACAAATGCGTTTGCACTTGTTATTCCCGACGTAGAACTCCTGCTCCTCTTTTCTTTAGGAAAGGACTTGTTGGGAGGTTGTGCCCACCAGGCGCTGGCGGTGTCCAGCAATCGGTCGCGTTTATTCAGAGAAGTCTGTCAGCATCGGGGTGGGGGTGAAGCAGGCTGAGCCACTAAACACTTTTTGTGGCAGTTTATCCATTTTCCTGGGTCTCTCTTAAGGTTCTAAAATGAATTAATGCATAAAAGTTCTTTAGATCTTATTCTGTTCTAAAGATTTTCCTTTTTTTGAGACAGAGTCTTTAATGCCCTCCGTAGAGTGCAGTGGTGTCACAGCTCACAGCAACCTCCAACTCTTGGGCTTAAGCGATTCACTTGCCTCAGCCTCCCCAGTAGCTGGAGCTACAGGCGCCCACCACAATGCCCAGCTATTTTTTTGTTGCAGTTGTCATTGTTTAGCTGGCCCGGGCTGGGTTCCAACTGCCAGCCTGGGTATATATAGCTAGCGCCCTACCCACTGCACTACAGGCGCCGCCTGTTGTAAAGATTTTTAAATTATTTTACTTGAGAAAAAAAAAATAGTAGTCTGAGCTATGCAAAATTTTATCTGGTCATAGAGTCAAGGGTGTAGAATTTGAATCACCTTGTCACATTCCAGACACACACACACATACACACCAATACCCATACACACTCATGCTGGGGGAATTGTTGCAGGCATATTGTTCCTGACTAGCCACTTTACCTATGATTGTCTCATTCCTGCATTTGTGTTAGAAAAACCAACAGCTTATGTTATTTTAATGTAAATTCTTGGAAAACAACTTAGGAACTGCCTCTATTTCCCCAAAAAACTTTTTTTTTGTTTTAAATTTAATTGAGACAAGAGTTTGACCATGTTGCCCTGGATAGAGTTCCGTGGCATCATAGGTCACAGCAACCTCCAACTCTTGGGCTCAAGTGATTCTCTTGCCTCAGCTCCCAAGTACCTGGGACTACAGGTGCCTGCCACAACGCCCAGCTATTTTTTTGTAGGGATGAGTTCTCGCTCAGGCTTAGGCTGGTTTCAAACTCCTGAGCTTGGGGCAATCCACCTGCCTTGGCCTCCTGGAGTGCTAGGATTACAGGCGTGAGCCACCTCACCCAGCCTAAAACCACTGCTATAGAGTATATATTCAAGGCAACTTGAGTCTGTGCTCGGTGGCAACCATTCTCAAACTTTGGACTTGAATAAAGTATATATTGAATCACATTTTCTGAATCTCGTTATTTAAGGTTGGGAACCCATCAAGGACAGTACCATGGCTTCCAGTGCTTTGGCCAAACCTCAGATGCGTGGCCTCTTGGCCAGGCGCCTGCGGATTCATATTGTTGGAGCATTTGTTGTATCCCTGGGGGTTGCAGTTTTCTATAAGGTACGTATTTTTTTGTTGTTGTTTTTTTGTGCATGAGGTCACAAAGCAGTTTTGATCTAAAAATGCATTTTATTAAAACTAGTATAGTTAGTTTCAGAGAAACACTCCCCTTAAAGGGTTAATTGTGCCAACCCTTCTTGGACTCAACCTCAGTTTGATAGGAACTACTTTGTAGCCCCCAAATAGCTTTTCCTTCATCTTTAAATGTAGCTGTGTTGGTTTACTATGGCTGGTAACAGAAGCACAGACTGGGTGGCTTAATCTACAGAAATGTTCTTGAAGGTGTGTTGGCTAGAAATCCATTGGCAGGGTTGATTGCCTTGTGAGGCTCCTCTTCTTGGCTTGTAGATGGCTGTCTTTGGGTCTTTACAAGGACCTGTATGTGGGCGCGTATTTGTGGTGGAATTTCTTCTTGTAAGGACAGCAGTCATGTTGGATTAGGTTTTATGCTGAGGGCCTCATTTTAACTTAATTACCACTTTAAAAACAGTTATATTCTGAGGTACCAGGACTTAGGAATCAATGCATGGATATGGGGAGAATGTAGGTCAGCCTGTAACAGAAACTATGTATGCAGAGGGTTAGGGAAGGCAGTACAATCAGTTACCTCCCTGTGTATCTGAGGGTGATTAGTTCCAGGACCCCTGAGGTTTAAATCCCTGATAGAAAATGATGTGGTATTTGATTTAATCTACACATTCTTGCCTATGCTTTAAATCAAGTCTAGATTATAGTATCTAATTCAGTGTAAGTGCTGTATCAGTAGTAGTTGTATTGTGTTTATTTGCATTATTATTTTTTAAATTTTTTTCCAAATATTTTCAATCTGAGGTTGGCTGAATCTGAGGATGTACAACCTGCAGGTGTAGAGGATCTCTTGTTCTGTTTGGCACCTTGAAGAATTGTCACAGAATTGTATTTTAACACTCTACTCTCTTCTCTGTATTTTCATATTGTACCCTTTGTTTTTATCAAAGGCTGCTTATTATATTTATAATTCTTTTCCATAAAAATGTTTATGATAATGTTTATCACTGTGTTGACCTAATAGTCCATGAGAGGATTCAGTTTTACTTTTGTAACTTTTTGAACTTTTAATTTTTGTTTAATATCTGTATTCTTCACTAGGCTGTTGAACCCTCATTAAGGCATTTGCCATGTTTTTGGTTTACTGTGACATTCCATCATTGGACGCCGGGCAAATAGGTGCTTATAAGTATCTATAGAATAAGAGAGATTGTCTAAAATTCCATCAGAGTTAGATAATGTGTAATTCTAGGTGTTTTGGAGGACACAAAAGGTGTATGACTAATCTGTTCATAAAAAGCTAAGTCAAGTTGGGAGGTGAAAAAATTAGAAGATATTGTAAGATAGACATAAATGAAAGATTGATTTTTGGGGGGGTTGTGAATCACAGTTGTGAGTGATAGGTCTTTGAGAATGGAGGTAATGTTTGAGCCTTCCAAGTTAGGGAGAACAAAGGAGGGGCAGTAGTAAGCAAAAGTACTAAGTAGGCCTGTGCTTTGGGACCCTTTGAAGAGAGGGGCACATAAAGGCAAATCCTTCACTTGGTTCTTGAGTTTCCTGCTGCCTGGCACATGGTGGCTACAAAATAAATGTGGAAGGGATGGATGGATGAGTAAATGAAGTGGGAGTAAGGACAGAGAAATATAATGAGCTGATTTTTTTGACTCATCCCTGTTGCTATCAATGTTCAAGCTTTTGTAACATGTAGTCTTTTTTTACTTCTAACTGGTAACTCCCAGAATACATGTCATTGGGCTCCCTAAGGGACTGTTTCAACTTTTTGCTTATAGTAACACATACATTTTTTGCATTGTGTTCTGTATATGTATAGAGAGTTTATAGTAATGCAGGATGTCCGTAAAGTTTGTTTGCACATTATTTTAAATTGCACATGAACTTTATGGGCACCCTATATAATTAAAACAATTTGATGCATTGAAATTATATGTGGTACCTACTTTTAATATAATTTTCTACTGTTAAGTTCTGGCTGTAGCCTTGTAAATTGGTTTCATGACCTACTAATGGATTGTGGATGACTTGAAAAACAACTATCTACAGGCTAATGCTAAAATTTACTCTTAATTCTAAGACCTTTTTGATTTATACTTCTATCTTTCCATTGTCATCCTCATCAATCCTAATACACACAACTTTATAGCCCTTCAGAACTCTTTGCTGTCACCTAATTCTGCTTTCTCCCATGGTATGTACGTGTCAGGAATAATCTCATCTTATTGGCAATTTCTGTTTGTCTTTCAAGGCCCGCTCAAATGTTTTTTTCTTGCAGAGTAGCACATAGCCTATTTCCCTAATGAATTGGTTGTATTTTCCTGGGTTCTCATGTACTAGACTGTTGTATATTATTGGGCACATTGTATTTTTTTTCTTTAATTCTTCCCATATCAGAATTGATGGGTACATTTTTTTATTATTAAATCATAGCTGTGTACACTAATGCAATTATGGGGTACAATGTGCTGGTTTTGGGGCAGATTGTAATTTTATTAGTGTTTGGTTGGAAGGAAGGTTCCCAAAGCATTGAGGAACCCAGATTCTTACTAAAGGATAAGGCAGCGGTTAACTTTGGTTCCTAGATGCTTACCTCCTTCATTTCTCTTATTTACTTGGGGTTAAATACTTTTGAAGATGGCTTTTCTTTTTTTAAAAATTCCTGGTTTTGTCCTATTTCCATAATTTCAATCAGCGGCTGTGTTTCTTACCTGAAAGAGGAATCCAGTAAATCTTTTTTGCTTAAGTTACTTGTCTGTAAGCCTAAATTCATGAAGATGGGTTAGATTTTAAGAGGCAAATGAATAGCCCTTACCTTAAATGTGGAATTTTTCTCTAGGTTCACTAAAGACTTTTTTTTCTTTGAGACAGAGTCTCCCTTTGTCACTCCTGTTAAGAGTGCCATGGCCTTATACTCACAGCAAC